TGTTCAAGGGCTTTATCCTTGGCTTTCTTTTTCATATCTTTTGCTGCAATAGTTGGTTCTTGGCTTCTGTTTTGATTTACTACAGAATCTACTAAATGTAAATGTTGTTTGTATTTACTGCCTTCTTTTATTATTGAATATTTTTTCTTTCTGTTTTCATGTTGTTTCACTAATTTTATCATCCAGTCATTTGTTGTTTCCATGTAAGTTAGTAAGCCAATAGTTGTTGTCTTGTATGACAATTCTAGCTGAATAAGACCTCTTCCACCTTCTTTACGGGGTATGTATAGACGGTCTACATTATTAATATCATTATTATTATTACTATTATTATTATTAATATATTATTATTATTATTATTATTATTATTATTATTATTATTATTATTATTTTCTTTGATTTCTGGCGTTTACACATTTCTTTCCGGGTCCCGCCCAGGGACCTAAGGTTATAAATGGCGTCATGACACTTTCCACTGACAAAAAAAAAAAAAAAAAAAAATTAAATTACATAGATAAAGCCCTTCGTAAAGTGTGGGCTGTACTTGTCAGAACAATTTTTTGTATCTCCTTGAGGCATGGACTTCCAGGAATCTCTTCAATGAGTCTACTGCAATCTTTTCCAACCAGTCCTAGGGCTCCAACTACAACAGGGATTGTTGATGTTCCCATATGCCACATTTTCGAGATTTCTATTTCAAGGTCCTTGTATTTTGACAGCTTTTTGAATATCTTCAAAGATACATTGCAGTCAGCAGGGACTGCCATATCAATAAGGAGGCACCGTCTTTGTTTGTGGTCTTTAATAACAATATCTGGCCGGTTGGCTTTGATTGTTCTGTCAGTGTGTATTGTGTAGTCCCATAGAATTGTAACAGGTCCTATCTCCGTAACCGGGTCTGGGTGGTGTTCATACCAGTTTCTTTCAGTTTCCTTCCCGTAGAAGTTGCAGATTTTCCAGTGCAGATATTGGCCCCCTCTGTCATGTCGGGTTTTATATTCAGTGGGTGCCAACACCGTGCAACCTGATACAAGATGATCAATCGTTTCTGGATACTTATCACAGAATCTGCATTTTGGGCTGACAATATTTTAGTATATGTGATTGATAATTCCTAGTTAGCAAGCATTGGTCCTGCGCAGCAAGGATAAAACCTTCAGTTTTCGCTTTCAACCCTGCACTACGTAGCCACTGATGGGTACGGGTTTTGTCTACGTCAGCTTGTTTGGTACGGGCAGAGTATTGGCCATGAAGCGGTTTATCTTGCCATCGCTTCTGTATCTGGTCGGCAGGGGTTAGGGTTTATTATTATTATTATTATTATTATTATTATTATTATTATTATTATTATTATTTCCCCTAGTTACCTAGTTCTGCCCAGGTATCGTGACTATTATAGTCGCAGAAAATGGAATCAGCAGCCCAATTTCTGATGCATTTATTTTCACACTGAGTAAGGCATGAATCCACTTCTTCTACACCTATAGAAACTATGGGTTAAATAGTAGACCAGAATGGTTGTCAACCAGTCTAGGAGAAGAAAAACTTTAAATTTAAAACTGTGGTGAAGGTAGCGGGAAATCCACTCTACTGTCTTTCTCAAGAATGAATGACAATTTACAGATAACACGGAAAAGGAATCTGTCTACATCCTGAAAACACTTTGAAAAGAAAAGTACCTGGTTGCTTTTCAATGGCGATTACGTGAAAGAATGTCTCGGCAATACTTCAGGGTCCACTCCAATATTCTTGAGGAATCTTGTCAAGCTGTCTTCTGAGATGTTTTGTTCTCTAGGCATGCAATTTTGGTAAATTATTTGCACGTACAGTGCTGCGCAAAAGTAAGTGAACCCCTGAGATGATGTTTTAAAAAGTTGTCTCTTTTTTCCAGATAATCAACAAATCTTAATTAAACTGTATATCCGTCAAAAAAAACTTTTATTAAACGAATTACAACCATTTTCAATTTTTTGTTTTGTTTCCTTAACAAGATATTTTTCTTTGCTGAGTGTTTTCCGACTACACTTGCTGCCAATGGGATATTATTTTTGTTCGCAATGGAAAACCCAAAGATTTTTTTTTAATTATTTCACCCCAAGCAAGGAGATAATGCCACTAAAAGTCAGGGTAGTGAAAGTGAAAGTGAAAGAGAAGACTGAGTATTGGGAAGATTGAGGAAAGGACAAAACAAAAACGAAAACAAGATTGAAGAAATAAAAAAGATAGTGATTGACTTTTGACGTTTAAATCTTTGAAGCTTGTAGTTAGAAGGGAAATAAGAAATCAGAAGGGAGTTCCACAGGTGGGAAGTGCGAGAAAAGAAACTGCTAGAGCAGAAGTGGCGGTTGCATCTAGCGAGTTCAATAGTAAAACGGTTAGACCTAGTTTCTAATATAAAAGCCCGGGACATCAGGGGGAAAAAAAGTTATCAGAGCAGTTGACATGAAAATATTTGTAGAAAAGACAGAGGGAAGCCACGTCACGCCGGAGAGAGAGAGATACTGAAGTCGATATGCCTGACTAGAATTGATTACATTACAGAGCCTTTGTTGTTTTAGAAAGAAAAAAATAGAAATAATTGTATTTTTTAATAGCTTAATCTTTGCATAGCAGAAAGGGAGAAATTATTGTGGATTTAAACCGGCTCACAACAAAGAAAAAGGTGTGAAAGGTTTTTAAATATAAAATAAAATATATATTAAACTTCCTTGATTGTAGTTTTCTGTTAATTTTTGCTTCCTATCGAGAGTGGAAAGGGAAGATTGGGCAACTCCTGTCGATATTTGGCAGCAGTACTTCCTTTTTGGCCTAATCTGGCTCTTGTAGTGGTAGACGATAGCAGGAGGTGTAAATTACTTGCTGTAGTGATACAGAGCTCGGACCATTTTTCCAACATCTTTAGCGTACGAGTTCTGCTTTGTTGCCATATTCGGGAGGGAGCTTCACGGACCGCACTCTCCAGCGTCGATAGAATCCCAAAGCGTCTCCGAGTCCTTGGAGGTGACGAACTATTTTCCACCCTTAAACCTCTCTCTCATAGGCGGGATGGGGTAATCCCCTCGTTGTTCTGTCGCTACTTTCACGGAAAGTGTTCGGACGATCTATATTCCTTGTTTCTACCAGGCCTAAAGCTTCACGACCAGGACCCGCCATGTCACTCCCATTGTAGTATTCCCTCCGTGTTCCATTGATGAGAAGTAAGTCCAACTTGTACAGCTTCTTCCTGCGAACTGTTGCACTGTGGAACCGACTCCCAAGGGTATGTTTCCCCGATCACGACAAAACCAGTTCAAGTCTAACGTTAACCGTTACTTTCCTCTCCTATCTGTAGAAATTGCCGCCTAACGTAACCATCTACCTCGAGTGATCCCTGGGTCTTGTATAGAGTGAACGTTACTGTAAAAAAAAAAAAAATATCCGCCTGAGTCAGATTGGCCCTGAAGGCTCAGAGCGTCCCTGAGGTAACATCCGATTTTTGCGATTGGTGAAAGTTCTGGGGTCGCTCATAACAAGATGATTTGATTCCTTGTGGTCGAACTTAGACGCAAAGTACGTTAAGAAATCAATAATGATATATATATATATCTATATAGATAGATAGATAGATAGATAAAGTTTTATCAGGTCATCCCATAAGTTCTGTCCGAATTTTAACTTTTTGTTAAACTGAAATTTAAAGAGTATTTTATAATGTCTAATGGAGCTGAACATTATTTTTATGTTTAGATGTATTTAAACTGATCAAATTTTATTTCAGAGAAAAATAAAATTAAATTTTGTTTGATTAAAACCCTGCTAACATGGAAGTACCCAAGAATCATTTGAGGCACATAATGCTTTATGAGTTCAAGAAAGGAAACTCAGCAGCCGAAGTGTCTAGAAACATTCACTCAGTTTATGGAGAGGAATGTGTGAATGAAAGAACTTGCAGAAGATGGTTTGCAAAATTCAGAGGTGGAGATTTCACCCTTGAAGATGAAGATCGAACCGGACGTCCAGTTGAATTTGATGAAAAGCTTCTTGAAGCAGCCCTTAAAGAAAATCCTGCTTTATCAGTTGAGGAATTGGCAGTGGTTCTCAGTTCAAACCATACAACTGTTCATCGTCATCTTCAACAACTTGGAAAAGTTCCTAAACTTGGAAAATGGGTGCCTCATGAATTGTCTGAAAACAACCTCAAATCCAGAGTTGACATCTGCTCTTCTCTCCATTCTCGCCAACTTGTTTCACTTTTTTTGGATAGACTTGTGACTGGCGACGAAAAATGGATCTTTTATCGAAATGTTAAGCGTCGTAGACAGTGACTTGGGAAGGACCCCAGCCACAGCCGAGAAGGGAACTTCATGGGCAAAAGGTTCTTCTTTCAATCTGGTGGGATCGCCAAGGAATAATCCACTTTGAATTTTTACCACCTGTTGCAACAATTAATGCTAAAATATACTGTCAGCAATTAGAGCGTTTGAACCAAGCTTTGAGGAAAAAAGACCTGCTCTAGTGAATCGAAAAGAGGTGATGTTTCGTCAGGACAATGCGCGACCCCACACAGCAAGAATCACGTCACAAAAGATCGAAGAACTTGGTTGGGAGAAAATTCCTCATCCACCTTATTCTCCCGATCTTGCTCCTCCAAACTACCATTTGTTTCGTAGCTTACAGAATCATTTGGAAGAAACAGCTTTTGTAACACAGGAAGAGGTTAAAACTGACATTTGTGAGTTCTTCGAATCAAAGCCAAAAGAATTTGACAGTAATGGAATTAGTAAGCTTGTTAATAGATGGAAGGAAGACATAGATAATCAGGGAAAATACATTGTTGATTGAATCTGTAATTAAATGTAACATTTGGTCACTTGTTTTCTTTATTCAAAATTCGGACAGAACTTATGGGATGACCTGATAGATCGTTACAATCAGTAAAGGGTCTTCATTTTTTATGTTTCATTGCTGTTGAAATCAAGAGCGTTTACTAAGATCGCAAGAAAAGGGAGTCGTCGGCCAAATCAAAATTTCGAGGGATTCTTAAAGAAAATAAAAATAAAGGATTTAACAATGGATTTAAGAGCGGGAAAGGAAGGGAGAATGAGAGAGAGGAAGATAAATAAGGAGAAACACAAATCGAGAGAGAGGGGGGGAAGAAAGGAAGAAAGAAGGAAAGTAAAGAGGTAAAAATGATGTCTAGAGACAGATAGAAAATAATGCGAAAGAGTTAAAAACAGAAAAGATATAAATAGAGATATATAAGTAGATGGAGAAAGAAAAGGGAAAGAAATGGAGAAAGAGAGGAATAGAAAATAGAGAGATAAAAAGAAAAAATATAAAGAGAGAGAGGGGAGGAGGAGAAAGGAAAAGACAAGAAGAAAGAGAAAGCAAGAGAAATAGCTAAAGAAAAGGAAAGTAGGAGAGAGACTAAAGAAGAGACTAAGAGAGAGAGAGAGAGACAGAGTGGTAAAAGTGAGAGAATCAAAAGAGAGCGAGAAATAGAAAAAACGATAGATAGATAGATAGATAGATAGATAGATAAGAACATAATGAAATAGATAGACAGAGAAACAAATAGATAGGAATAGAATAAAATAGATGTGAATAGAATTAAGTAGGCAGAAGCAGAATAAGATAGATAGATAGATAGATAGATAGATAGATAGATAGATAGATAGACACACGCAGGAATAGAATGGAATAGCTAGAAATAGAATATATATATATGGAGAGAGAGGGGGGAGAGAGACAGAGATAGATAGATAGATAGATAGATAGATAGATAGAAAGAAATAGAATATATATATATATGTATGTAGATAGATAGATAGATAGATAGATAGATAGATAGATAGAAATAGAATGTATATATATATGTATGTAGATAGATAGATAGATAGATCAAGAGACTTAGATAGATAGATAGATAGATAGATAGATAGATAGATGAAGGGACTTAGGACTTAGATAGATAGATAGATAGATAGATAGATAGATAGATAGATCAAGAGACTTAGATAGATAGATAGATAGATAGATAGATAGATAGATAGATAGATAGATGAAGGGACTTAGATAGATAGATAGATAGATAGATAGATAGATAGATAGATAGATAGATAGATAGATGAAGAGACTTAGATAGATAGATAGATAGATAGATAGATAGATAGATAGATGGATCAAGAGACTTAGATAGATGGATGGATGGATGGATAGATAGATAGATAGATAGATAGATGATGGGGGACTTAGATAGATAGATGGATAGATAGATAGATAGATAGATAGATAGATAGATAGATAGATAGATAGATAGATGAAGAGACTTAGATAGATAGATAGATAGATAGATAGATAGATAGATAGATAGATAGATAGATAGATAAAGTACTAATGAAACAATAATGTGTTGAATAATGTAATTGTCTGTCATGCAGAATTTTCATTTCTTTAAAGTATAGTTTTTGTTTAGATTAATTATTAACAAGTATTTCATCTTAATTTCTTCTCTTTCTTTTTTCATGTATTTTATTCAGATTCTTATACAACAAGTTTTAAAACAAACAGAACAGACTATTAGCCTATTATGGTAATGAATATCACCAATCCAACAAAAGGGCACGAATATTGAAAGCACGGAATTTAGTGTTCCAACCCTTGAATGACACACGCAAATGCACCGTTAATCTTTGTAATCTGGAACCCTGCACTCGTTGGATGTGGCTGGTGGCATCGAAAGCTGAAAATGGTAAAGAGATTTCGTGGCTTGGTTTCAAGACACGAATCTGTGTAGGGTCGAAAAATAGAGTATATTAGTTTAACGACAAACTAGGAAGTTTCGGATTGACAAAAAAGGCCTGGTATATAAACACTTACCGAAATGGTAACGAAAAAAAGGAGGGGAATATAAAGACATGAAAAGAATTAAAAAAATAGAATGGCTCAGTTTGCATTGTAACTGATTGGTGGCAAAAAAAAGAGGAACAGAAGAAAACTAAAAAGACGATGCTGTAAAGAAGAAGACGACGAGGGAGAAGAAGAAGAGAAGCAATTCTTGGTAAAGGAAAATAGAGGCTTAAGAAAGAGAAAGGAAAAGAGAGAGAGAGAGAGAGAGAAAGAAAGAAGGTGGAAGGGTAAAGTTAAAAAGATGATGCGGTAAAGAAGAAGAAGAAGAAGAAGGAGGAGGAGGAGGAAGGAAGCAATTCTAGGTAAAAGAACAGATAGGTAAGAAAAAGATGAAGGTTGTAAAGATGAGGGTGGGAAAGAAATTCTAGATGTAATAATGAAGAAGGTAAAGAGAAACTATGAAAGTTATAAAGAAGAAGAAGAAAAAGAAGAAGAAAAAGAAGAAGAAAAGGAAGATAAGAAAAGAAGCAACTCAAGCTAAAGAAAATAAGATGGTAATGAAAAAGTAACGATCAAGGTCATAAAGAAGAAGAAGAAGGAGGAGGGGGAAGAGGAAGAGGAGGGGGAGTCAGAGGAGTAAAGAGGAAAAGGTGACGGAGGGGAAGGAAGAGTAAAGAAGAAAAGGTGGAGGAGGAGGGAATGAATTTAAGACGTAAGAAATGAGATGGTAAAGATAAAGGTTGTAAAGAACAAGAAGAAAAGGAGAAGGAAGGAAAGGAAACAATTCAAGACGATAGAAATGATCAAGGTTGTAAAGAAGAAGAAAGGAAGAGGAGGAGGAGGAGTAGAAGAAGAAGAAGAAGAAGAAAGGAAGAGGAGGAGGAGGAGGAGGAGAAGAAGAAGGAGAAGAAGAAGAAGAAGAAGAAGAAGAAAGGAAGAGGAGGAGGAAACAAGTTAAGACGAGAAAAGAAAACAGTCGACCAAAAGAAACGACGAAGGTTTTATAGAAGAAAAGAAAGAAAAAGGAAGAGAATGAAAAAATAAAGCAATTCTAGATGAAAGAAATATAAGAGACATTAAAGAAAGAAAAACGACAAAAGCTGTATAGAAGAAATAGAACTAAGAGATAACTTATTCTAGATGAAAGGTAAGAGCAAGTAAAAAAAAGTGAAACGATCATAGTCGTAGATGATAATAATAATAAGAAGAAGAAGAAGTAAAAGAAGAAGAAGAAGAAGAAGAAGAAGAAGAAGAAGAAGAAGAAGAAGAAGAAGATGGAGAAACGGATAGATAAAAAACAATACTGGAACGAAAAAAAGAGACAAAGAAAAAAAAAAACAATTGCGATTGGCGCAGAGAAACGACAGCGAATGGCAACGATACTTTGAAAAATGAGAAAGTTGATTCTGATAACATTCGGATTTGCCGAGGGAAGGCCAGGAAATAGGAAGCTGGTTATCAGGATTTCATGGCCGGCCCATGGACGGCATCTGGCTTCAAAAGCGATAATAACGTTGCTAAGATTTCCAAACTTCGGATATGAAGCCTTGTCATCATTATTAATTTTAAACCATTTTTCATTCGTATATATATATATATATATATATATATATATATATATATATAGAGAGAGAGAGAGAGAGAGAGAGAGAGAGAAAGTGAGAGAGATACAGAGACAGAGCAAGAGAGAAGAAGAAGAAAATCTTAATCAGCCATACCAAAATCCCCTACAAAGCCAAATGCAAAAAACGCTTACAAATTCTTGATGCCATCACAATTAAAAACCAAAAACACAACATAAATAAAATAGCATTTAATACTGACAGAGACATCTTAAGCATATTTAATAACTAATCTTACAAATAATAAACACCAACCCCCTCCCAATTGCTAAAGAACTAATTATCACTGCCGAAATATCCTAAATGTTATCTATAAAACAAAATAATAAGCAACCTTCAAGCCAAAACATACAGCCATGATAACTGAAAGCGCTCGGCAAAACACCAAGGACTAGGTTCTTTTTTCAACTTTGAACCAAATATAAAAAACAACTTGCGAGAAAGCAAGGAAAAAAATATTAAACGGAAAAGTTCCATAGACTTTAATAATAGATGCTTCTATATATATATATATATATATATATATAATAAAAAGGATTAAACACTATGGTCATAATTTATTCCATTGGAATCGTAAATACGATCCAATTCATCAGACCTAGAAATTCAAAAAGAAGAATTTGTAGGTCTGATGAATTGATCCAATTTACGATTCCAGTGGAATAAATTATGACCATGGAATATTACTTAAGCCTTTTTATTATATCCTACTCTGTCCTGGACATTGAGTTCTACCTGGATTCTATCCTCTCAGAATTTTTTATTCAAAAAATATACATGTATATGTATGCACCTATGTATATATATATTTATATATTTTGCATATGTATGTGTATATTTACCACTATATATATATATATATATATATATATATATATATATATATATATATATATATATATATATATATATATATATAATTTAAAAAAAAACAGACCACTTTAAAGTTCCATGTAATAAATTATTTCACCACAGCTCTTTACACACACACACACACACATATATGTGTGTGTGTGTGTGTGTGTGTGTGTGTGTGTGTGTGTGTGAGTGTGTGTGTGTTTATGACCTTATTACTTTCTACGACTAGTAATAGAGTCGATCAGAAATAAAGATTTAGCTTCCAACAAAATTTCTATCTTTGAGAGTCTGTCTGATGTGGATGACGCCTTACTCACTAGGCGACAGAGCAGTAAACGAATTTACTATTAAGTTATATATCTACATTCTTTTTTCTTCTTTGTTTACACCAAGAGGTTAATCCTGGGCATGACGATAAACTACATCCAGCAGTAAGGCCTCTAATCGGCAGATTGGAGGTTTTGAGGAGCATGGAACCACCTCTTAATGGCTGTTGTTCAATGGGTGGTAGCACCTGTTAGGATACAAGCTATTGGCAAATAATGACCCCCCCCCACCACTTAAAACCAAAAGAAAAAATAAACATGAAAGTATAAAAAATACATTTTGTATAGAAAAATATCAGTCATACTTTGCAAACAATATATATTTATAGTAAAATTACGAACAATACATTTTATAATAGAATTATCAAAAATACATTTTTAATAGAATTATCAAAAATACATTTATAATAGAATTATCAAAAATACATTTTATAATAGAATTATCAAAAATACATTTTATAATAGAATTATCAAAAATACATTTATAATAGAATTATCAAAATACATTTTATAATAGAATTATCAAAAATACATTTTATAATAGAATTATCAAAAATACATTTTATAATAGAATTATCAAAAATACATTTTATAATAGAATTATCAAAAATACATTTTATAATAGAATTATCAAAAATACATTTTATAATAGAATTATCAAAAATACATTTTATAATAGAATTATCAAAAATACATTTTATAGCAAAAGGATCAACAATACATATTATCTGTAGTTGAAGGAATACAGCTGCTTTCAAAATATATTTAGTTGAAGCTATATAATTGTGTTTAAAATATAGAGATTTTGGTATTAAATTACCCACAGAAGTGTTGATACACCGCAAAACAAAATCAACCAACCAATCATCACGTGTTAGTAGACATAAAAATGGCTCGAATGTCTCAAATTTAAATTTCAAATTTCTCTATTTTATTATTATTATTATTATTATTATTATTATCATCATCATCATTCGATTTCTGCTATGGACACACTACCTACCAAGTCTGCGGAAAGACCTAAGGCAGGTCGTGGTGTGTTGTTATGGCCACATTTCATGTTAATTTTTTTTTTTTTTTTTTTTTTTTTTTTTTATCTCCGATGAAGTTGCTAGCGTTACATAGACAAAGTTCTCCTTAGTGTGTGTGCTGTACTTAATAAGACAATTTTCTGTATGTCTCTTAAGCTGGGGTTTCCAGGGATTCTTTCAATGTGTTGTTTTGTTCCATTTTTTATAATTCCAAGTGCACCCTATTACCACTGGTATTATTCTTGTTTTCAATTTCCACATTTTTTCTATTTCAATTTCCAGGTCTTTGTATTTTGATAGTTTTTCAAATTCCTTGGTTGCTATGTTACAATCCGCTGGACAAGCCATATCAATTAGTAGGCAAGTTTATTATTATTATTATTATTATTATTATTATTATTATTATTATTATTATTTTCTTTGATTTCTGGCGTTTACACATTTCTTTCCGGGTCCCGCCCAGGGACCTAAGGTTAGAAATGGCGTCATGACACTTTCCACTGACAAAAAAAAAAAAAAAAAAAAAATGATTACATAGATAAAGCCCTTCGTAAGGTGTGGGCTGTACTTGTCAGAACAATTTTCTGTATCTCCTTGAGGCATGGACTTCAGGAATCCGTTCAATTAGTCTACTGGAATCTTTTTCCAACCAGTCCTAGGGCTCCAACTACAACAGGGATTGTTGATGTTCCCATATACCCACATTTTTCGCGATTTCTATTTCAAGGTCCTTGTACTTTGACAACTTTTTGAATATCTTCAAAGATACATTGCAGTCGGCAGGGACTGCCATGTCAATAAGGAGGCACCGTTTTTTTATTATTATTATTATTATTATTTTCATATTATTAGTTGTTGTTTTTTATCCTAATGTCAAGGTTGTTTTCTTTACCCGTAACGCTGTGGATCAGAAATTAAAAAGGAACCTTCAATAAGATTTGAACTTGCATCCTCTATCCTTCTTCTGGGGTTATTTAGCTAAATGAAGATTTTAGGCCCCTCGTCGCATGTTCACATGGAATTTCGACTTTAGCCTAATCTTTGTGCCATCTTTCCTTCGAGTAGGCACATGGATAATCATTGGGATGTAAAGCCTCATACAGATTAGGCCATAAAAGTTTCTCAACAGACCCCTATGAACGGGCGTCCTCTTAGGACGGCACCGTGACTTGAGCGCCTATTGGAGCTTAAGCTCAACCCTGACCTCAAGCGGTACTCGTACATACTATCCATCGCTAAAGATGCTGGAAAAATGGTTTGTTCCTTGTACTAATCCAGTAAGTACCTGACACCCCGTGTCATCTTCTATCTTTACAAAAGCCATATCAAGCGGAAAATGGATTATTGCTGCCATAAATGGACAGTAGTTTCCTAGTCTTCAATTTCCAGAGTTGAAAAGCCTCTACGCAGACTTGTGAGTGATATGTTATTTTCCATCCTACAACCCCTTTCCCCACAGACGAAACGTTGCAGCCTCTTGCTGCTCTATCGCTATTTCTATGGAAAATGTTCAGACGAACAACATCCCTTAGTTCCAGCAGTTCTAACCTCCACGGTTAAAACCCGCCAAGCTACGCACATTGGAGACAACCACCCGCATTCTCTTCTCAGTTCCATTAGTGAACAGCTTCTTCCCAGAAACCACTGCTTTGTGGAATCGACTCCCAAATGGATGCTTTCCAGATCTCTACTATCTTAACCAGCTCAAGTTTAACGTTAACCCTTTTCTTCCCAACATACTCCCATAAAATGTGCCTTAAATTCCTTTGTTTGTTCTGTAATCGTCTACTTCGAATGGCTCGTGGCCTTTGTACAGAGTGAACAATATTATGAAAAGCTAAGCATAATTCTGTCATACAGCGACAGTTCTCCTTCAGTTAAAAAAACTATTACATCCACTACTACTACTAGGAGGGACCTTAAATCAAATGAGGTAACGAAAGCATGGGGAAAAGAAAAGCTAATTTAAAATTAATAATGACAATACTGTTAATTCCGATTACAAAGGCAGTGATAATGCTATTTATGTTGAATACAGAGTAATTCTTTTCCTAGACTAGCTGCCAACCAAGACTAATTAATCCACTAAACACGTGATGGATTCGCGTCATTCCGAAGGACATATGTATGAAAATGAATACAGCTGACTATGCCGAAATTTTAACTCATAATCTTTTATAAGGTCATTTTTATAATAAGGTCATTTTTATAATAAGGTCATTTTTATAATAAGGTCATTTTATAATAAGGTCATTTTTATAATAAGGTCATTTTATAATAAGGTCATTTTATAATAAGGTCATTTAGAACGTAGTTAGCTAAAATAGTAATGCTATTTTCTTTTTAATAATAATAATAATAGATTTTTATAAAAACCTCTCTCTATATCGAGACTATTTGGCTGTGATGCGTGTGCCTGTTATACCCTTATCCAACTGGATGTCATGATGGGTATATTAAGCTTTGTATATTGCATCAGTTTGTTGACATGCTGCCAATAATAATAATAATAATAATAATAATTAATATTAAAAGCAAAATAGATAAGAGATTTATCAGTGCGCCCACGTCCCTACCGAATGTTTTGTTGCATAGCCCCCTCGTGCTGGGGAGGTATTGGCTATCGACATTGAGCCTATGCTGCATGTTGGGGGTCAACGGCACCAATTCGGCAATAAAGTCGCATTCTTTTATCCCAGCCGGTGATCGCTAACTGTTTTTAGTCCAGAGATAAAAGAACTTCAACACAGGGAATTTTAACTAAGCCACTTTAATAACGTCGATGTATACATCTCTAACCACTCAGTGGGGTCGCTCTCCCGCCACTGGGGAGCTGTTTCAAACACGAAAGGAAACATGTCTACATTGCGTGACGTTTCAGAAACAACTCACCGAAAACCCTTTCTCTATTTATCGTTTTCGCGCTCGTTCAGCCAATCAAAATCGACTTTCTTGTTTTGTCTTCCATCTGACCTCAAACGTCAACCTCAGAAAGTTCGAGCAGAGATACCATTCCTCCTAAAATTAATAGTCTGTTAAACTATTATTTAGCAGTGTCAAGATGAGCCTGACGAAGTTGAAAAAGGTTGAAATCGTTAAATCTGAGGCTGGCGGCTAAATTAATGACAATAGTATGACTTTTCATCTGCTGCGTCAGAGTCGAAACATCCATGGCCGTGCGAAAAAAGCAACAAAATGTTTAATTGGTTGGTTGATTTCAGCGGTATCTCAACAACTCTATTGATTATTGAATGCCGAAATCTACAGATTTTGTACGCAATTTTATGCATTCAACTACAGATATTTTGTACACAATTTTATATTTTCGGGGTAAAGGTATGTTTTTGTAGATGTATAGTTTATAGCTCATAAAATCTATTGTTGGTAATTTCAATATAAAATGTATGTTTATATTTTCTTAGTGTTGCATTGATTGGCATTTTGCTATAAAAATCTATTATTGCTCCTTTTCTTATAAATTTGATTTTCGTTTGAGAGTTCACTATTTGACGATAGTCGGGACCCTAACAGTTAAGGGTGGACCTGGAGAAAACCCCGAGTAAGAGGTGGTTCCACGCTCCTCAAAACTTTTATCTCCCGATCAGAGGCTTTGCTACCGGATGTAGTTTATCGTCATGCTCAGGACAAACAAGACGTGTAGTTCCTGAAGATGTACACTAACTATTGTTAGATAAAAACATAAAAACTTAAATATACTCGGGATGCCAAGAAATATGTTTTGGCGAATATAGAACAAAGATGAAGTCCACATCCAGGTTCGTGAAGAAAAAATACAATTCCATCATATTCAAATATCAAAGATGCAGGCGCTACTTAAATTTAAAAAAAGATATATATTGACTTAACGACCTCTGTATACGAGTTAAACTTAATTAGCAGAGGTAATGTTTTAAATATATATTTTACATTTATTCACAATGTTTACTATATACGTATATATGTTTTTTATATATATATATATATATATATATATATATATATATATATATATATATTAATTTACTAGTTTAAACGTTATTTTAAATAGGTACTCTGTTTTTATATATTTATTAAAGGGTATATTTATTTACATCTACCGGCCTATTTCTATTCGAGAAATCTTTGTATAAATATTAGAACAACGTAATTTACTAGAAAACGTTACTAAATCTAACGTGCCTTACATCACTCGGCCACGTAGGACCTCTCGGTCAAACAAGACCAAAATAAGGCTTTTAGATACATATCTTCTAGATTCACGAAATATATATATATATATATATATATATATATATATATATATAATCATTTATTCGAAAATTATAACATAAAAATTTCCATAAAATCACTACGAAAATAGCCATTTTGTTTCAAAACTTCTGGTGTCTTATCAAGTGTCTTGAACCATCACTTGATAAGACATCAGAAGTTTTTTATTGAAATTTTTTTATTAAAATTTTTTTTTTTTAATTTTTATGCTATAATTTTCGAATAAATGATTATATTTGCTCTACTCTGTAATGAGAACTCTTTTAAGAATAGTCTTTTTGGTTATTGGAATTTATTCCGTATACATCAATCTTGTATACTTGCATATATATATATATATATATATATATATATATGTATGTGTGTGTGTGTGTGTGTGTGTGTGTGTGTGTGTGTGTGTGTGCTCTGTTTTTGTATCCTAACGTAAGCAAAGGCAATTTTTATGAAATGGATTTTTATTTATTTTCAAATAAAAAATATGTCGGATTTAATCCATTTAAACAATTGTTTAAACGTTATTTTCCTCAAATATTCAGGACAGTAGATGTAAAAAAATATACTGTTTAATAAATAAAAAATAATACGGCATCTGCTCAAATATCATTATCATCATCAGGTTGGACAAGCTCATCTCTCCACAACACGCTGCCTTATTCCATTCCTGTTGTTCATCGCCTTTGGATGCTCATCCAGTCTTCATCCCGGGTCTTCAATCGAATGGTCAACGTGCATCTTATGGTCGACCTTTTGTTCTTTCTCCTTGGGATGGTATTCAGAATTGAACGTTTTCAGCTAGTTCTTCTTTGCCGCGCCAACAGTGACCAGTAAATCTCAGTCTTTGTTGGCGTGTTGATTTGCTTATGGGTGGTATATTGCCATAGAACTCTTTCTTTGTTGGGTGATCTTTCCATGACTTGTTTAGTGCCCCACGAAGCATTCGTGTATAAGCACCATCTTTTCCAGTTTGGCTGTTAGTGCTCAGGTTAAGGAGCCATATAGAAGGACGGAATCTAGATTTGATTCTCAGATTTTGTTCATTTCATTAAGCGCTCCCCAGACTTTTCCCAACCTGATGTTGATATCATTCTCAGTGTAGGCAATATAGCTACCCAGATATTTGAGGTCGTCTACTTGCTTGATGTTTTCTCTGTTCAGAGTTTTCATGCCTGTCGATGTATCTTGATCCTGGCAGATGAATTCACATAGGCATACAGTCCAATCTTCTGGGTTACATTTTCGATGTTGTGAAGGAGTGGCTTATATGCCAATATCCTTAGGACAGGTATGAATCCATCTCTTCTCAGCTCAGCTATAGCAGGACAGACTAGGTCTTATAGCCTTGGGTGACAACCAGTCTAGGAGAAGGAAACTGAATTTAAACCGGATCGCACTAAGTGTGTATACATTCGGCAGTGGACCGCTTGTACATCCAAATGTATGTATGTATGTTTGTATATTTTAATAAATCCCCCCCCCAATAATGCCACTAAGACGCAAGGGGTTACTGAAAGTGGAAGAGTAAGAGAAGGTTTCAGTGAAGAAAAAAACAGAGAAGCTTCAGGAAGATATAAGAGGGCGATTGACGTTACATTTTTTTTTTTTTGAAGATTGTAGGTCGTAGGGAAGCAATGTACCTGGGGTGGGGGGAGTGCGAAGTGTGAAAAAATAAATTATTAGAATAGAAGATGCAATTATATCAAACTATTTCTACAATAAAGTGGTACCTTTAAATTCATATGGTCGACTTTATAAGGAGTAGAGCTCATCAGAACAACAGAGAAAAACGTAGTGGCTTTGTTTCCAAACTAGTAGCACGCTTAAATTCATATAATCGAGTCACCAGGGTAAAAAAATTGTGTCGTGTGTGCGTGTTCGTTGGGTTTATATATAATCAACTTATAATATATATATATATATATATATATATATATATATATATATATATATGACCCGTATATGTATAAATAGCCGAGAAAAATAACAGCACACGTGGCCTGACGATTGCATATAGCATAAAACAGACTGTCGCCTCTAAGTGTTGACTTCTGTTCACTTTTATATTTACACACGTTCTATCTCTGATATTGAACATTTTATCCCATAAATATAGCACACCTTAAGACTATATTTCTTCATATATATATATATATATATATGTGTGTGTGTGTGTGTGTGTGTGCGTTTGAGTATGTGTCAAGCGAGAGTTACTATATATTAATCTTTGTTTCGGCAGTAATAAACTTGTAGGAATTAACCTCATGACATCACTAAATGAATTGCAAGCCTACCTTAATCTGCTGTCTGTCTGTCTCTGTCTGTCTCTATCTATCTATCTATCTATCTATCTATCTATCTATCTATCTATCTATCTATCTGTCTATTTATCTATCTATTTATCTGTCTCTACGAAACAGCGATCTCCACCCGAGTTTATATATGTTTAGTGACAGGGAAGCAGCAAATGTAGATGTAAATGAATAAGTACCGACATTATATACTTGTTTGTATGAAGAGGAATTTTGCTTTACCCTTCTGCAAATATATATATGCAAAAGTACGCTCCGGTTTTAAGTGATTGTAATTTAAAACCATATAAAATACTTCATTGTAAAGTCTTATACACACACAAGTTTTACTGTTCCCTTAAGAAGTGGTTTTGATCATTTTACAAACCGCTCTCTTTCGTGTTTACAGTGAATACAGTTATAATGGCCTTTTTTTGAAATGAAACAAAATTAAGGGGAGGCTATCCAGTTACGTTTAAATAAAAATGCTTATATTTATTGGCTGGTTAGCGGTTTTTAAAGAATTACATAGTAACTTGAAGTTTTTTTTTCTTTTTCTTTTTTAGTATTGATCGCATGAATAGTGCTTTCTTTGTAAAATTGTTTGATTAAGAAAAAATACAAGAAAAAAAGCGCGTAAATGATCATCGGTTCTTTTACGACAATTCCCATAAAGATCTCGACTTTCTTGAGTTTCATTTAAAGCCCATTTTTTAAATATCATTCTGCTGGAATATGGGAACGCGTTTTTCTTTTTCTAGAACAAAATAGATTCCTGTGTTATACGACTCGTACTTGTAAAATCTGTGTAATAGGTTGTGCTTTACCCCTCTTTAACATTCCCATTTGTCTGACTGAAATGAAGATTACCGTCCTTGCAGAGTGATTTGGTTGGGGACGAGAAACCGGCCAGCCGACCGTCCTGGGTATGACAATAAACTACACCCGCGTCCTGGGTAAGACGATAAACTACATCCGGCAGCAAGGCCTCTGACTGGGAGGTTTTGAGAAGCGTGGAACCACTTCTTAATTACTGATGTTCCCAATTCCATCCTGACCCCGGGGTAGTAGCACCT